TCTCTCTCTCTCTCTCTCTCTCTCTGTGTGTGTGTGTGTGTGTGTGTGTGTATGTGTGTATACAGTAACACACATGTGGAGGTCAAAGGACTTCCTTCTACCATGTGGATCCTGGGGGTTGAACTCAAGTTGTTGGACTTTCTGAGCCATCTTATAGTGCTTTGGGGCCCAGTAGACTGGGCATTAAACCCTGCCTTTCTCATGCCTAATCCCTCGGGAATGTCTGTCCCTCTGTTGTCTTCCAGAAGCCTCAACTTGTAATAAGCCAATAACTTATGGCTCACATAAGTTCCGAATGACTTATGTGAGCCAGTCCATCAGAGGCTTTATTTCCCTTGTATTGCCTTAGGTTATGCAGCCTTTGGCTCAAGGAAGGATGGGTAGTTATTTTACTCAGTTTTTCTGCTTGCATGGCATTTGGACTGATCATGTCCACCTCCATGTCTATAGTCTCAGGCTATGAGAAACTTTCGTTCCCCGTGTAAAAGTCTCCTCCCAGTCCAGGAGTTCATATGCAAAATATTCCCTTATTATCATAGTTTCCTATTAGGGCCATTATTCAGGCCTCTGATTGCACACTGCATCATGGACTTTCCCTTTCCTCTGTCTTAAAGGTCAGATTTGAGGGGCATCTTCTCACTTCTGTGTTCTTCTACACTACAGTTCTTCCTCCCCTGGGCTCCAAGTTCTTGGGTCCTAGATAGAGCACTTCAGATCTGACTTGTATCCTGTCAGCTGTAAGACATGGCAAGGTAGCATCTCCATCCTTGCCCTCCCCGTTTCCTGCCAGATCAGAGGTTGATGTAGTGTAAATGGACAGTTCTCTACCACCTGCTAGTTCTCAAATAACCACTCAGAGGCTTAATATGACTTATAAATACTCAGCCGGTAGCTCAGGCTTATTACTAACTTGCTCTTACACTTAAATTAACCCCTAATTCTTATCTTTGTTTAGCCACGTGGCTTGGTACCATTTCTGAGTATGGCATTCTCATCTTGCTTCCTATGCATCTGGCTGGCGACTCCTGACTCTACCCTTCCTCCTCCCAGCATTCTTAGTTTGGTCACTCTGCCTATACTTCCTGCCTGGCTATTGGCTAATCAGTGTTTTATTAAACCAATTTGAGTGACAAATCTTTACAGTGTACAAGAAGACTATTTCACAGCAGGATAGCACCTGTGTCTTTTGTTTACATAGGCAAGTTCTTTGGGCCAACAGCCAAGGCCCAGTTGCATTTCTTCTTGCCCACAGTAAAGTCTATACAATAGCTGTTACAGCCTGTTTAAGGTCTTGTCCCATATGCACTACTTTCAGAGACTGCAGTGTATTCTCTAGTACATCAGTGGGTTGGAAATATCCTCATATGTACATGGTGGTCACCCTTTATTAAGGAGACTTGTCACCTCATATTATATACTGTATACTATACCCCATACTGGGATTCCTCCCTAAGGACACTTCAGTCTTAGATGGATGGTGTGACCTTGATCAAATGTCTTACCACCCATTGCAGGACACAGTAACTGCCACTATAGTAAGGAGGCATACTATGCCATTCTAGGTAGGTAAAGATAGCTATGTTAGGGTTAGCCCCACCCCACCCTCAGACAGATCAGCCTTAATTAACATGTCTCCTCACCCATCCTCATAGGGACCATGCAACAACAACTCTTTGGTTCTGTTGGTCCCTCTTTGGGTACCAGTTACGGTTGTGCAATTTTTCTTGGGGCTATATGAACAAACATTTGTCTTCCCTGGGTAGGGCACTAATAACAAACCAAATAAATGATTCCCCTTGACTAGTTGGTGAACCAGTGAGTTTGTGTGGGGTTACTTATGGGAGGGAACAAGGGTGACCCTAAAGGCAGCTACATAGCAGAAAAGCCCACCTTGTATTGGTGATGCCCCCCAAGCCTAATTCCTGCACAGCCTCGGTAAGTCCCGTCAGACTGTCTCCCAGCAGTTATTTACTGCTTTCATGACATTGTGTGTGTGAATGTTGAGCTTTATGAGACAGTAAGTTTCTTCAACTCTTTGAGTCTAGTAAGACTCTCTCCTTCCTCCAGGAGGAAGTAGCCACATAGCATCTTCCTTTTGTAAGTACTAAAGACATTTTAGAATGCAGACTTAATTTGTGCATGCTGCAGGTATCATCAGATACTTTACTACCCATTGCCCATTTATTCCATTTTTAGTTTTTAGTTTTGTACTTCTGTCTTGTACATACCACAAACCACACTTTTTGTGTAGCAAGATGTTGAGAATACTCACATGCTTTTACTAATTCATTTGTTCATTTCACTCCTTCATTCTGTGATTGCTTTCTTATTTCCTAATGTAATTTTTTTAATTTTTTCCCTTTGAGGACTGAGATCATTTACTCTCATCACTTATTTCCTAATGTAATTTCTTTTTCCTCCTCCTCCTCCTTTTTTTTTTTCTTCCGAGACAGGGTTTCTCTGTGTAGCTCTGGAGCCTGTCCTGGAACTTGCTCTGTAGACTAGGCTGGCCTTGAACTCACAGAGATCTTCCTGCCTCTGCCTCCAAGTGGGATTAAAGGCGTCCACCACCACTGCCCGGCTGTAATTTCTTTAAAAGTTGCAGAGTCTATAAACTGAAATTCTGAGTCTTTCACATTTGCCTTTTATTATTATCATTACTGTTATTATTTGTGGAACTGTGAATTAAACCGGGACCTCATACCTGCTAGGCATGTACCACTGCATGGCACCCCAACCCTTTAGAATTTGTGGAGCTGAGGTTGGATTTCAGTGGGAATTACTTAGTATACAGTTTTTTATTGCCCTTGCCGTACTTCTTTTTTGTCGCTATTATTGTTTTGTTTTTAGTTTTTGTTTTTGTTTTTTCTTTAACAAAGATTACATGTATGGGGGCTTTACCTGAATATGTGTAAATGTACCATCTGTGTGCCTGATGCCCACGGAGGCCAGAGGAGGGCACTGGAGCTACAGACTGTTGTGAGCCACTACATGGGTGCTGGGAATTGAACCTGGGTCCTCTGTGAAAATAGTCAGTGTTCTTTTTTTTTTTTTTTTTTTTGGTTTTTCGAGACAGGGTTTCTCTGTGTAGCTTTGCGCCTTTCCTGGAGCTCACTTGGTAGCCCAGGCTGGCCTCGAACTCACAGAGATCCGCCTGCCTCCGCCTCCCGAGTGCTGGGATTAAAGGCGTGCGCCACCAACGCCCGGCGCCTAATAGTCGGTGTTCTTAACAGCTGAGCCATCATCTCCAGTTCTGTTGTTTTGGTTTTGAAACAGGGTTTGCCTATGTATCTGTGGTCAGCCTTAAACTGGAGATCATCCTTTCTCAGCCTTTCAAGTGATGAGATTATAGGCATGCATCACCATGTTTGGCTTGGTACCTTTCCTCATAATACAGCTGAGTGTGTAGTTTCTTTCGCCAGTTATGGAGATGCAACTAGTTGTCATGTGAAGAGGCCGAGGTAGGAGGATCCTGAGTTTTAGGCCAGCCTAAGTTACACCTTTTTTAAATTTTTCTTGGGCAGCTAGAGAGATGGCTCAGTGGTTAAGATCATTTGTTGTTCTTGCAGAGGACCCAGGTTCTATTCTCAGCACCCACATGGTGGCTCACAACCATCCATAACTAATTCCAGGGGATCCAATGCCTCTTCTGACCTCTGTGGGCAGCAGACACAGACACAGTACACAGACATGCAGGCAAAATATTCATACACATAAGATAAACAAAGATTTTAAAAAGTTTTTACTTCTGAAAAAATTACAGCCAGTATTTCCCTCCTTATATTAAGGCATATAAATCTTTTTGCTGTTCTTGTTTTTGTTTTGAGACAGGGTCTCACTATATGGCACTGGCTGTCTTAGATTGCTAGTCTCTAATTCTGAGATCCTCCTGGCTCTGCCTTCCTGAGTACTGAGATTATAGGTGTGTGCCACCACAACTGGTCCATATCATGGTGTATAATGTATAAGGGAACTGATAAAAGAAAAATCCATTTAAAGATTTTCTAATAAGTTACAGTGTAAATTAATACATTATCTTCATGTCCAGTATCTTCCTCTATTGCTCCCCACCTTATTTTTTAAGATAGAGTCTCTCTCTGCACCTGGAGTTACTGATTTGGCTAGGCTGGCTGGCCAGTGAGCTCCAGGGTTCACTTGATTCTATTTCCCCGGCACACACAGGCTTCTCTACTCAGCTTTTACTTGGGTACTGACAACTGGAACTTGGGTCTTCATACTTGTGCTAAAGGTACTTTACTGACTGAGCTGTCTACCTTCCTTTTCTCAAACAGAGATCATGGGCTGGTGAGATGTCTTAGTGGATAAAAGGGCTTGGTACCGAACCTGACAGGAGTTAGGTCCTTGGAACCCACACTGGTTAAGGGAATAAAAGACTCGTGAAGGATATCCCCTCTGTGCATGCACATGTGTGTGTGTATACATATACAAAATGTAAAAAAAAAATCGGGGTTGGAGAGATGGCTTAGCAATTAAGAGCACTGACTGCTTTTCCAGAGGACCAGGTTTAATTCCCAGCACCCATTAGGCAGCTCACAACTGTCTGTGACTCCAGTTCCAGGAGACCTGACATCCTCACACAGAAATACATACAGGCAAAACACCAATGCACATAAAATAAAAATAAATCATTTTAAAAGAATTTCAAACATTTTCTGGTTTGTCTGCTGAGAAGTAGAGTATTAAATATACTTTATGAGGTATCTAACAATTTAGATATTAATATGAGTATATGTTGTACATTGTAATTCTGGTACATTATAAATGCACATATAATATGCATTGTACATTATGAGCAAGTTGGATAGCCAAAGAATAATGTGGTAATTTAAGTCATAATCAGAATGCCTCTTTATACATCTCTTCATTTAATGGATTGAGTACATGACTGGTGAGTTACTGACCATTCTTATTATGTGAATGTGCTTTGAATTAGCAATACATGGGGCTGCTTTAACATAGATTAACTTCTTTCATTTCAGAAAACTCAGGTTCCTGAATCTCAAAAACCCAGACCAAAAAAAGGTCCGTATATAATTTCATTATAATATATATACCTATTTCTTTGTCTCACTGATTCTGTTATATATACCAGAGCTTTGTAAAGTGTGTTGGGAAAAGCAGTAATGGTTCAACTCTTACACAATATCTGTTTTTATGTTATCCAGATAAGTTTATTATTGACCTGTAATGTACTTAAATGTTATTTGGTTAATGTCAGTGTACACTAATTTTTATATGTGTAATAAGCATTCAATTCTTGTATAACTCAGACCTCCTCTAATTTTATGTATATGTCAAATAAGTGTGACATTTAATTTTATTTAAAAACTTTTTATGTTTTTGAGACAGGGTCTTGCTATGTCAGTTTCCTGAGGGAAAAATCCATGCCCTATTTATCTTTGTTTAAGACTGGCCCAAACTCACTGTGTAGCTCAAACTGGTCTTGAACTTAAAATACTTCTTTCTCAGCCTCTGAGTAGCTGAGATTTATGAAATTCAGTTGTAATTATGCAGGTATCTGACATAATTACTAGTATTTTTATACCACTTCTGGATATGAGAATCATCCTGCTGTTGCCTCACTTAATAATCAAATGATTGAACTTGTTAAGGTAGGGCTAGTATATGCTGTGACTGTCAGTCCAGAATGTATTTTACCCTTTCTCTAGAGTCAGACCCATGCATTAGTTGACCACAGGCCTAGAAAAGGACTGTGCATCAACCAAGAATTAGTCCAAGGGTCAGCAATATGGCTCAGTGGGTTAAGGGACCTGCTGCCAACCTGATGATCCGAATTCAATCCCTAGGACCCACATGGTGGAAGGAGAGAATCTACTTCTCCAATATTGTCCTCTGACTTCTGCATGGGTGCTGTGGCACATATGTACCCACACATGGAGAGCCGTAGAATAAACTAATATAATTCAGAAAACAAGATACTTACATAAATTTCCAAATTCCATGAAGAAGTTAATGTGGTATTGTAATTTCTAATGGTTAGTTTAGACATGAGGACATGCTAACGGAGAAAATGTAACACTGATTACATTGTTTGTTTCCAGCTCTCGAGTTTCCTATTGTGGAGAAACAGAACTGGTTGATCCATCTCCACTATATCCGGAAGGATTATGAAGCATGCAAGGTGAGAGACTGCAACAGTGGAGGGCATTAGAGGGAGGCAGACTGGGCAGACACTAGCAGTGTCCGAAGTACAGCATGGCAGTTAATATCTTGAATTTGCATCCCTACCTTCCTGCTTTAAACGTCATTATTTTAATTTAAATAATAGCTTATCTATCTACCTTGACTTTAATCTTCTCTTTCAGTGTGTTTCTGTATAGCAAATAGGACCAGGCTCCTTCCTGCTTAAAACTGGTCATGATTTTCCCACTGTACTCAAACCCTTTAGAATGACATTTTTAGTTCTCCTCTTTCTGACCCTCTCTTTTGCCTCAGCTTTTCTTCCACCACTTGCCGACACACAGTTTGAGACTTTTCACGTTAGGAGGCCTTCCTCAATTCTCTGAGTTGGAATCAGATGCTGTCTTTTGAGCTCCTAAAGTACCGGAGCCCAGCCCATCACAGTCTAGAACCCATGTGATTTGCTCACCAGAGAATCCCTAGTGTCTGTAACGGTGCTCAGAAGTCTTCTCATGTTTTTCTAGCTTCTCTAGTTAATATTTTAAGTAAGGATTGAGAACATTTTTGTGTCATGAGCCAGATAGAAGCTTAATTAGTTAGTTAATTTTGAGATACGGTCTCACTTTGTATCCATGGCTAACCTAGAACTTGCCAAGTAGACTAGGCTGACCTTGAACTCACAGAGATCCTCCTGCCCTGCCTCCTGAGTGCTGGAATTAAAGGTGTGTTTGCCTCCATGCCTGGCCAAGACAGCAGTTTAGACTTTAGGGTTACTGTAGTCATCATCTCTTGTATGTCATCATCATTTTGCTTTTGTTTCTATTTGAAACAGGGTTTCATGTAGACAGGTTAGCCTCAAACTCGATAGACAGTAGAAGATGACTTTGATTTCTTGATCTTGTCTCTATGTCTTGAATGCTGGAATTGTAGGCATGTACCACAATTCATGGCTTCTTTTTTTAAATTAACGCAAAAACAGAAAACTTACTAACATTTTTTTAACTTATGTGTTGGAATGTTTTGCCTACATGTATGTCTGTGCACCACATGCAAACAGTGCTTGAGGAGGCCAGAAGATAGTGTCAGGTACTGGAGTTGCAGTTAGTTGTGAGCTGCCTGTGGGTGCTTGTAATCGAACCCCAGTCCTTTAGAAGAGTAGCAAATGCTCTTAATGCTGAGCTATCTTTTCAGCCTTAAAAGAATTCTAAGTGAGGGATGTACAGAAATGTCCCGAGAGCCCTTAGATTGCTAACCTCATTCTAAAATAAGTGATGGTAAGAAAAACAAAAATCGCCGGGTGGCGCACGCCTTTAATCCCAGCACTCAGAAGGCAGAGGCAGGTGGATCTCTGAGTTCGAAGCCAGCCTGGTCTACAAAGCGAGTTCCAGGAAAGGCGCAAAGAAAGCTACACAGAGAAACCCTGTATCGGAAAAAGAAAGAAAGAAAGAGAGAGAGAGAGAGAGAGAGAGAGAGAGAGAGAGAGAGAGAGAGAGAGAGAGAGA